CAGGGTTTCGGAGAAAATAGTAACTGCAACTGCTTCCCTGCCACGTGTGAGATAGAAACAAAATGTATTCCATTTTTCTTCAGGGTTAGAGCTCAGCATGTCCACATACAGCCTCCCTTGGAGCAAGGAGCTGACCATCCTGGAAGGAGTCCCTATGCATCTTCAGGCTAGCAGCAGCAGAGGAACACGAGGCCAGGGTTTTGAGGTGTTTTGGCATCAGCAGCTGTGGGCTGACCTCTGCCAACCACGCTATTTGATGGCATGATTTCCTCACTCATGCCCTACGTGAGACATGGAGGAAGACAGTGGCAGTTCCCATGCCACCAGAGCAGGTAACCACTCCTTGCCCCCTCCGATTCATCTTCAACCCAGGGGCTAGATCCTGTCACTCTTCAGTGATTTCCCATAGCTCAGGAGTGGTAAGACCTAGAAGGCATAGCATGATTTGGCTCTTATACCATCCTTATAGTTTACTCTCCAGCTACTCTTCCCTCACCCAAGTTCTACTGGTCTTCTCTACTCCTCCAATGAGCCAAACTCCTTCTCAACTTAGATCCTACTATCTTCTTTCCCAAAAAGCTCTTCTTGCCTCCCTTCCTGGCTAAGTCACACTCATCTTTCAGGACTTCCTTAGAGTTTTTCCAACTTCTCAGGCCAGATTAGGCACCCTAGTTTTACACTCGAATTATGTGATATTATTGTTTTCCATAGTATTAGCACCATTTGAATAATCTCACTGTGTGATTATGTGATTACTGTCTCACTCCCACAAGACTAGAAACTTCATTCGGGTAGGCAATGTACTTGTTCTGTTTGCTACTTTATTCCCAGTGCCAACTACAGTGCCTGACATAGTATGTGCTCTACCAATTTTCTTGGAAGGAATACATAGGAGGAGGAAGGTAGGCGAGGAGGAAGAAAAGGAGGAAGGGAAGAAGGAAGGAAAGAAAGGGAAGCAGGCAGGGGGAGAGGCAGATAAGCAGGGGTCCCAATACTGATTCTCCATCTCTAGCGGGAAAGCTGGAAGGGTTCGCTGTAGCTCCTACCTGAGGTCTCAGTGCTTCAAGGCAGAAGTTAACATCAGAATTTTTTTTTCCGTGGGATAATGCTGAGTTCAAACCAGAGAAGTGGGTCCAAATGAGTCATCAGAGAGAAGGGGGTCTGAGGTGAGTATCAGGTATAGAGCAAAATGAGAATGAGAAAAGCAGAGAAGATAAGGGAATAAGAAACAATCTATACAAATTCAAGGAACTGTAGGACAAGGCCACCAGCTGGGCTTATTTTTTGTACGTAGCAGTATTTACTTTTTTAAATGTTATTTTATTTATTTCTAGGAGAGAGAGAGAGAGACAGCGCGAGCAGGGGAGGGTCAGAGAGAGAGGGAGTCACAGACTGAAACAGGCTCCAGGCTCTGAGCTGGCAGTCAGCACAGAGCCCGACGCGGGGCTCGAACCCACTAACCGCGAGATCATGACCTAAGCGAAAGTCGGACGCTTAACCGACTAAGCCACCCAGGCGCCCCCGTAGCAGCTATTTATGGAGGGGCAAAGCAAGTCTGATTAAAGGGACCCAGACCACACACAGTTGTCATATATAGGCATACATTGTTCCAATATCTTAATAAGTTGATATTCTTGTGTATGAACCATTTTCTTGTGAGTATGGTTAACTATAGGTTCACTAATGAGACTGAATTAAGCTACAGTTTATGCATTTCAAAGCTTAGGACTGGCTCTTGGACCATGGTGCCCTGCCTATGTGATGCCCTGCTAGAGTTCAGTGGACTCTGCCTAAGCACTCAGCTGGTCCCTCCCTGCCCTGCATGTCTGTGGCATCCTCTTTCGAAATTCAACATTTCGAACCAAAGGTATCAAGCACTTCACTTACTCACTAAAAAGTATCAAGCTCTTCACTTACTCCCTTCTTGATCAGAGGCTTCTGGGGGAAAGGGAAAATGCTAGTTTGTGTTCGCAGCTATTGAGCCTAGTATAATGACTTTGAAAAGTAACTGCTCAAAAAATTATTGAATAGATGCTGCTATATATTTCACAGGTGCCAAGAATTATTACTCCAATGAATTCAACCTCTTGAGGAAAATCACTTTAGACTTGAATTTCTTCCTGAAATACAAGGAGTTGGACTAAATAATCTGTAAGACTGTAAACTATTAGAAAAATGATAAGGTTATGTCTTATATATAATATTTTTACAATGTCACTATCATTTCTAGTCTATATTTGGGCACATAGGGGGGACTCAATAAATGTTTGCAGTGAACTGACTCCAATATAGATGTATTTCATTTGAGAGGAAATTTAGAGATGTGTTTCTGATGTTTCATATACATTGTTTATGAGTTAAACACTGCTTAAAATATACAACAGAAATTTGTTATTAAATGGATTCCTAAGGTGAATATTTTTTTACAATATTTGGAATTGCTTTGCAATATAATAAGTCCTTCATATAATCCATTGAGTTCCATATTTTACATATCCAGGATGCTGATAATAGGATAAACTAGATTAGTGCCTTACAGTTATGAGGGAGCCAACTGAATTACAACTGACTAAATCAAGGTGTTCTTCATAGAGAGAACTGTCCTTCTTTCTAGTTTCCCAGATGATCCCCTATTCTTTTTCTCTCTCAATGTCCCCTACACACACACACACACACACACACACACACACACACACACATTTTCTCCATTGTCTTAATTCATATTTCAAATTTGGTAGTTGTATCCTAATTTCTAATGCATAAACTTCATTTTCTAATACTCCTTTCCACCTCTCCCCACCCCCTTGTTTAACCACATGCCTCACCAGTTTTCAAAATAGGTATGCCTTCCACAGTGCCTGGACCATCCGTAGCATATAGGTACTTCATGTTGTCTATCTCAGGTGATGACTTTTGTATGAGCATGCTGGAAGTCGAAGCTTCTCCCCCTGAAAAGCAGTATCTCTAGGTTATTCTCAAGGTGGGATTCAGGGAAGGAAGTGCTACTTACTATCCTTAATTTTCTCTGTAACTCTCAGCTGTCCAGGGCCTTTTTCCCCTAATCCAGTGAAAAATTAGAGAAGTGATGACTTTTCTCAATATTATTGTACCTTAAAAAGGTTCTACTCCTTTGATATAAGTGAGAGAAAAGCAGAACATATAACTAGATACTTTGAGACTGAGGTAGAATAGAAAGCCATTTTTCTTTGAGATTCTATCTTATAGGTTTTCGAATATCAATTACAATTGTAACCAGGACTCCCACAGATGAGCCTAGAAAGGTTAAAATAATTTACAAAGGACAGAGAAATCAACTACCAGGTCATGTGCTATAAATTTTGTTCTTCCTCAACTCCCAAGTCCTTATTATCTGCCTGGGCCTATTCCCACATCAGACCAAAAGCTCACCTTGTGCAAGGAAGAGACATGACTCAGTGACAAATATTTTACTACAGTGGGAATGGAATAAAGTCAGTTGACCCCTAAAACCTACATTTAGACTAGTAAGTTTAGGCTAGTAAGACTGTATTGAAACTCCTGCAAGAGAACCCATCTGTCACTAGAGTATGATCAGGAGACAATGGTACCTGTGCTCTGAGGAGTCCTGACTAACCCACGAGACTGAATCACACACATGAAAAATTTCAGATGAAATTCCTCTTTATGCATGGTTGTCTCCTAGAAACAGAGGCAGAGTTTAATCCATATGAAGAGATCTGTGGAACGATTAAGATGGACAAAACTGACGTGGATCAGGTATGCCCAATACTAGAGGCTTAGAACATGACAATATGTAGATATCAGCATATGAAGTGATACAAATAATCTACTTTTATGTATTTGACAGGGCAAGATCTCCTGAATTCAGTAAGGCTCTCCTTTTTTTCCATAGTAGGTAAAAGGTTGGGGCCTACAGAGACTCCCATTCTTTTAAGTCTGAGCTCAGACTTCTGAGGTCTAGAGGGTCTACTCAGAATCATTTCTCCAAGACTTCTAGACAGGCCTCTAGTCCAGAGTCCAAGTTGAAGGACTGTAAAAAGTCTGCATGAACAAACGTAGTTTTTCCCATTATTTTCTTTTAAAAGTAGGGCACAGATTACATGTTAGTCAATTCAGTCACAGGAGCAACTCTGGGGCCATTTAGTTCTTCAGAGGGCGGACTCCTTGATCCTTTTCTATTTTTACTCAGAAAAGTAGATCTCTGGTGGACCCACGTTTTCAGAATCTAACCTAAAGTAATCCCAAGCTGCTTTTTTTTTTCTTTTCCCGAATGGCCAATCAAGCATGATGTAGTGCCAAGGATACAGGCCTGCAAGTTAAGAAACTTGTTTCCAAGTCCCAGATCTCCCATGCACTTTATAACTTTGGGAAACGACTTCACTTCTCTTTAACTGTTAGACTAAAACATTTCCCACAACCACTACAAGCACTAACGTTCCGTGATTCTCAATAAAACACGGTACAGAGCTCGAGTTAGCTCTAAGATCGACATCCAGCAAAGCGGACACAAGTTCCCGCCGATTGACGGCCACAGCAAAAAGCTGCCATGGAAACCAGAGCGAAAGCAAAAATCGCCTAGCGGAACCAGAAGACGGCGTGCAAGGGGATCGAGGGAACAGAAAAAAGCGAAGGACGACAGGCACACTAACAGTAATCCGAGAACGAGAACAGGAACGAGAAAAATCCCAAACTGAAAGGGGAACAGGGAAATTTTGACTTTCAGCCTTAGATGTTAACTGGGCTTCTCAGGCCTGGCCACACTGCGCAGGCGTCCCCCGGGTCCTCAACTCTGCTCTTTGACCTCCCGCCCCACCCACCCCCTCCTCCACAGCCACCGGGCGGCTCTTCCGGTATTGTGGAGGCTGTTCCGGTTCGCGGCGGTTCCCGGGTTTTGCGTTCCGCGCCCGGCCGGAAACCCCTTCGCATAGCAGCCGGTTCCGGTTCGGTGAGTGGCGGCGGGAAGCTGGGGGAGGGGTGAGGATGGAGGGAGCCTGGGCCGGGAGGCAGTGCCGGTCCGGGCCCAGCGGCCTCGGCTGGGCTGGGCGGAAGCAGGGAGGGCTGTGGGGACGGCGCTTTTTCCTCTGCCCCGCCCCCTGGGACCACCTCCCCTCCCCCCAGCTATCCACCAGCCGGGATGTGGCCGGCGGCCGTTAGTTAGGCTTCCCGAGGCCGTTCCTTCAGGCCTCCTTCTCCTGGGCCGGCGAGAGGCCGTCTCCCTTGCCGTTACCCCAGGCCCCGTCTCGGCGCCCAGCCCGCCTGGTGGCAAAAACGGCCGGTTGGGATTTCAGGGCTTTCCCGCCCGAGCAGGGTCTTCTCTCAAGGGAAAGCTGTTTTCACCGGGAAGCTCAGCTTTCTGTTACACCTGCTTAACCTTCCGCCTTCTTGAGACCTGAGTGATATTTCTCGACTACTTCTGCGTCTCACGAAAACATTTCTCCAACTCTTTTACTCTGGTATCTCCCTGAGATGGGATATCGCTAGTGTGCCACCAACAGAAAGAAACGTCTGGACCCTCCTGCCCAGGTTATGAAAACCCCCTTAACTGCCACGGTTTTCTTACCTGGCTCATCGCCTCCTGGTAATTCCCTTGAACCGTCTCTTTCTTCGTGTGCCCTATCGTGGTCTCCCTGGGTATATGCCCGGTTCTCTTCAGTTTGGTGATTTGTGTTTATCGGTGCCTTTGCAGTATTTTCACTATCTCGTTGGCAGTAACTTACTCCTTTATCACTTTCAAGTCAGCCTTGTTGAGGTCATTTCACTTCACGTATGGTACACTTATGGGGGGGGCGTTGATTCTTATACAATTTATATAAAGCCTTATATAGGCTGCCACTTACTTTACTTCGCGTCTTTGTTCTAACTGGATATTCTGAATGGAGTAGATCACACCATCTCCGCAGTCTTTGTGGAGCTAGTTTGTGTTTGTGTTTCCTGTTGAAAGATCACACAGAATTTGAAATTACAGTTACAGTAAAACCCTAAGCATCTCTTAAGCAGGATCGCTTAATCTTCTTCCAACTTTTAGAGATCCCTTTAGTCACAGTTTGAAAGCCGCCTTTCATTTTTATCTTGAGAAGTCCTTCATTTTTCCCCTGATTCCGGTTTATCCCGACTGCAAACATGGTCTTCATGTCACCCATCCGATGAGTTAAATCTAGAGGGAACAAATGGATTAAAAAACAGGTTCTGCCACTTCAGGCCAAGGTGATGTAACTCTGGACTACTGCTTTGAAAATCTTTACCTGACTCCCATGCCTCCTACCAATTGCACCAGCTTTATTTTCTTGCTATAAGTATCTGTTTATGGATCTGGTTTCCCCCATTAGACAGTATTTCAGAAGCAGGGATCATTTCTTATCATCTTTGTATTCCTAGTACCTTTTATGTAGTTGGTGCACAGTAAATGTGTATGAAAGGAGTTGAATACTTGGTGTTTTAAGGTGTTACAGTGTTGAAGTGTTAGAGTCTAATTGGGAGAGATTACATGTAAAAATATGAGAAATAAAAACAAATACAAGGTGTATACTACGAACTGGATTGTATACATATCCAGAGTTCAGAATAAACTGATTCACATGATCATTTACATATTTCCACTCCCTTCTAATATCATAAATTATTCTAACCACATTTGGTCCTGGATAAAGCTAATTGCCTCTCCTCAGTATATACTTTCTAGTCACTTCCTTGTAGCCCTAAACATTCTCTTATAGTCACCTGTTTGTGTGTAAGCTTATACATGTTTTGCCATACTTGTTACATTCTGTTACTGTTGAGACTTTGCCGTCTTTTTTTTCTTTCAGATTTCCTATTATTTTGTGTCCAGCTATTAACTTGACTTCACCTGAATAGCTGTAACAGCTTATATTCTTTTAGTAAATTAAATGAGCGATGTGAACTAAGAGATATTGTTAAAATACTTTTTTAAATTTTATTTTTGAGAGAGAGCGCACATGAGCAGAGAAGGGGGGAAAGGGAGAGAGAGAGAGAGAGAGAGAGAGAGAGAGAATCTCAAGCAGGCTCTGCACTTTCATTGTAGAGCCTCATAAATCATGAGACCATGACCTGAGCCGAGATCAGGAGTCTGACACTTAACTGACTGAGCCACCCAGGTGCCCCAGAATACTTTTCTTAAAAGGAAAAAAAATCTTAGACTTATAAGAATTTGGTGGCATTAACATTTCCAGATCCAGCATTTCTGTGTTGAATCTTGGAGTAAAATATCCCTACTTCTAATGTAAATGCAGGTTACAAAAAGAAAATAACCTAAGCCACTGAAGAAGTTGGATGTATTTGTATTAAAAGGTAAATGTGGGGCTTTAATTATTAATGGGGAACCCAGGGAATTCTGTTTTATTTAAGAAGGAAAAAGGGGAAAAAATACCTGGGAAATTTCCAAATAGAAGCCCTTTGTTAAGTTGAGCATTTGGAAACATACTTGAATCCTTAATATAAGCCTTAAATTCTTTGGGAACACTCCTCAGCAATCCTGGGTAATCAGATGATTGCTCTGCTTAGTCTGTAGCTATGCCAAGAAAAGCTCAAGCAGGCTTCCTTTGTGCATGCACTTTGTTATTGTGACCATAAGGAATACCTGTTATCATCATCCAGTCCTTAGTAGATTGAAGCCCTGATTTTGCTAAAGTTAATGATAAACTAAAGTTGACGATGTGCTCAATCTTTTTAAAGTATGGTGGGGCACCTGAGTGGCTCTTGATTTGAGGTCAGGTCATCTCAGGGGCCTGGATTGAGCCCTGCCTTGGGCTCTGCGCTGGGTGCAGAGGCTGCTCAGGATTCTCTCTTTCTTCCTGCCCCTCCCCTGCTTGTGCGTGCATGCATATGGACTCTCTCTCAAAAATTTTTTAAAATATGAGGGCGCCTGGGTGGCTCAGTTGGTTAAGTGTCCGACTTCAGCTCAGGTCATGATCTCATGGTTTGTGGGTTCAAGCCCGCGTCAGGCTCTCTGCTGACAGCTAGCTCAGAACCTGGAGCCTGCTTCGGATTCTGTGTCTCCTCTCTCTGACCCTCCCCTGCTTATGCTGCCTCTCTCTCTCTCTGTCTCTCAGAAATAAATAAAACATTACAAAAATTAAAAAAATTTAAGTATGGTAATGGGATTATGATTGTAACAAGTGTGACTGCTACCATCCCTAGTCTCCTTTTCTATCTGCCCTGAAGCATGTATGCCAAGGATATGTTTCTTAACTTAGTTCCACACAGTTAGGCTTTAAACTTCTTTTTTCTGGAAAAATTAGATAGATCAGAGGAGAAAATTTCATGTAGGTAAAGGGGCTTTGGTTTATAGCAGTTTGATTAGTGATGGGAGAGAAAGTACTTTAGTACAACTGGGAAGTATTCCTTGATTACTCTGAGAGTATCAGTAGCTTTATGTTTGGCCACTGAATTAAACTTGTAGAAAAGAAGTCTGATAGGACCACCACAAGATCTGTCACTTTTTTTTTTTTTAAATTTTCTTTTCTTTTCTTTTCTTTTTTTTTTTTTTACAAATAGTTTATTGTCAAGTTGGTTTCCATGTAACACCCAGTGCTCATCCCCACAAGTGCCCTCCTCCATGCCCATCATCCCCTTCCCCCCGCAACACCCATCAGTCCTTAGTTTGTTCTCAGTATTCAAGAGTCTTTCATGGTTTGCCTCTCTCCCTCTCCCCCACAGTTTCCCCCCTTCTTCTCCCCCTTGGTCCTCACTTTTTAATTAAATGGTGTAGCATGAGGTACCAAAGCAATGGTTTGTGAGGAATTTCCAGGTTGTAATTTCAGTGCAGGCACTAACTTTATGACCATATATGGATTAGTCTCCAAAGTTGGTGCCACTCCCAACTTGCTTCTTGCCAATTTGCTTCTTGCTGTAATGTTCTGTGATTCTGTAGGTAGTCCGTAATTGCTGTCTGATACAGCTCAGGTTCTGGAAATGTTTCGAATTGTCTCAGGCTAGTTTTAGTGTTTTAGTGTCTATAGTGTCTTCCTATCAAGTCATCTCTTACCATTTTATATTTTTCTCTCCTTAAGAACACAGGTGTCACTTTGAGTGGCTTCCTCTTGTATAATTGTATGAAAGAGGTGTGCCAGTATGTCACATTTCTGTTTTCTGTCTTCCTTTATAGGACTTTGTATCTTTGCTAAAGTCAGTGATGTGAAAAGACCTGACATGGGTAAGTCTAACTATGAAGTAGTAATTCAGTCTCTTAGGTACTCTGATTAGTTAAGTTGGAACGAAAGAATGTTGTTTTGTTTTTGTTTTTTTTAGCATTTTCAGTATTTGCATCTTTGTGTTCAATAATAATCTTAAGGGAGATCTCAAACTGATTTTGTAATGGCCTAACACCAGACAATTTTCTTTTGGTTGAGACATTGTTTATAGCATCATTTGGAAGCATTTTCTCATTCATTGTATTGAAAAAGCCAAATACACACTAGAAAACATTTGCTATGTGCCAGGCTCTGTTCTGAGTGCTTAAAATATATTAATTCATTTAGTTTTTTAACAACTGCCTTACCAGGGTGTTATCAACAAGAAAACTAAGACACAGAGGTTAAGAAGCAACTATAACTGGCAGAGCCAGAATTTAAACTCAGGCAGCTTGGTTTCAGAGCCCTTGTTCTTTCGTATTATGTTATACCACCTTCTATGTGATAAATAATTTGATTAAGGTAAATTTTTAAATTTCACTTAGCTGGTAACATTGAGAATTAATTGTGATCGCAACATTTTGCACTATTCATAGTTCTTGTCTAGACGGGATCGATACAAGGTCAGGCCAGCAGCCAATTAGGAATAGGTTGAACAATTTATACAGTTAGATCTTCTACATCTTATAACATCCCATGAGCTCCTTTTAGAGTCACATTAGTCTTCTCTCTTGTTTCTGTTTTTTCCTTTTACTTAGTCTACCTTCTCTCTTACCTGGTCATTTGTTTCCCTTTTTTCTAATTGCTGATGTCAGTGTAAGTCACTGAATTCTGTCACTCTCATTTGTTTCTATTCTAAGTTTTATACTAACAGAGGTCTCAAAGGTGGTTATAAAGTAAGGTTCTACCACAATATTATAATCTGTCCAGAACCATGTGTATACATTATACTCTTTCCAGAAAAGACAGTTCAGGTGGATTAATTTTTAAAGCACCTTTTAAGTTAGACAAAGGAAATAAACAGTTGTTAACAGTGTTTGTTTTAGAATGGTGAAATTTTTTTCCCTGTTTTTTTTTTTTAATAGTTACTGTTTTTCTAGCTAAAACATTCAAAATTTCTTTAGGGAAAATTTCATTTTTTAAAAAAAGTTTGAATTAAGTGTTTTTTAAAAAATATTTGTAACAGGTTTTGAACTGTTTGGCAGATGATCTCACTCAATTCCAAAAGAGCTAATTTCTGCACACGGGCCTCTTTTTGACAATGACATTTTGAGATTGCTGGCCAATGGTTAGTTATGAAAGAGGTTTTATTTGACTATAGAGCTGTTTTTTGGGAATCATTTTTATCAGGTAAAAGATTTGTTGATAGGAAAGTAGCTATTAAAGAATTATATGACTTGAACTAATCTTGGATTCTTTTCCCAGATGATATTGCTGATAGGATGAGGATGGATGCTGGAGAAGTAACTTTAGTGAACCACAACTCCATATTCAAAACCCATCTCCTGGGACAAACAGGTTTTCCAGAGGACCAGCTTTCACTTTCTGACCATCAGGTTAGGAATAATTTTCTTCCCTTAATTAATGAATTACACTAGTGTCTTAAAATTGCTGGGAATTAAATGGGGGGGGGGCGGTTTGTAAATATACAGAAGCTCTGAGATTTCCCTGTGCTATAAAGAATGTAGTTTATCAAAAGACCAACAGCAGCAGCATCCCTTGGAGCTTGTTGGAAATGCAGAATCTCAGGCTTCACCCCAGACCTCCTCAGTCAGAATCTATAGTTTTATAACTATCCAGCTAGTAAATAGAAATACCATGTGATCCAGTAATTCCTCTACTGGGTGTTTACCCAAAGAAAATGAAAACACTAAATCAAAAAGATATATGCACCGCTGTTTATTGCAGCATTATTTATGCAGTAGCCAAAATATGGAAGCAGCCTAAATGCCCGTTGATAGGTGAATGGCATATATATACACAATGGAATATTATATAGCCATAAAAAGGGTGAAATCTTGCCATTTGTGACAGGATGGATAGACCTAGAGAATATTACGCTAAGTGAAAAAAACTGAGAAAGACAAATATGTGATTTCACTCATGTGGAATCTAAAACACAAAACAAATGAATTAATAAATAAATAACAGAGTTAGATCTATAAATACAGAGAACAAACTGATGGTTGTAGGGAGGGGAGTGGAGCAGAATGAGTGAAGGTGAGTGGGATATAGAGTCTTCCAGTTATGGAATGAGTAAGTCACAGAAATAAAAGGCACAGCATAGGGAATATAGTGTGAGATATCATAGCTACATTTGTGGTAAGTATAGCATAACATATAGAAAAGTTGGATAATTGTGGTGTACATTTGGAACTAAAATGAAAAAATTTTTTAAAAAAGAAAAAAGATCTCCAGCTGGTTTATTTGCACCTTAAAGCATTCTAATAAAGGAGTCCTTCTCAGTAAGAAAGCCATTACTAATATGGATGAGACAATTCTTTGCTGTGTGAATCTCTACCAAGCATAGCAGAGTGTTTAGCATTCTCGACCCTTGGGCACTAAATACTGTAGTATCTGCCCCTAATAATCATTTTTTAATAATTTAACTGAATATATATACACACATTTCCAGATTAGTACTGGGGTGCAGCCCCACCCCTGATTAAGAACTTCTGTATGAAGTTATTAAAAGATTTAAAACCAGGTTCATTTTGTCACCATCTTTGATAAATGATAACAGCTGGTTTTCCGAATAGGATATACTACATGAATATTTACCTTCTAATGAGCATTCTTTGCATTAAGTTGTACAACAGATACTTGGCCCATTTTTCCCCTTGAAGCCTCAATCATTTCATCAGATTGTGCATTTTTCTTTCTTATTAGTATATAGTTTCCTTATATAGAAATTATACTGAATATTGAAATATGTCATAATCTTGTTTAATGATACATTTTATCCCATTTTATTGTGAAAAATATGATTTAAGAAAAATTTTTTGCTTTGTTTAGATTTTACCTTCCAGGGAAGGAAATTTGGACCGATCTTATACATGTTCTACAAGAAGTGCAGCTTATAATCCAAATTATTATTCAGGTATGACGCATTGCTTGGAGTCAAGGCATTTATACCATTCTGATTTCTTCCTAGCAAATTGTTTGTGTTTACCATCTCTAAAGTGAAAACATTGTCAAAAGCAAAATTGTATTTTCTCCAGTAAAACATCACTGTGTGTGTGAGTGGGAAAGGAGTGTTGGTATAATACTTTACTGACCTAGTCTCAACCACATATTTTTAATGGAAAAGTGTTTTTAGAATCCATTTTCTTACTTGTTCATTATGTCATTGTGAAAAGCAGTACAGCTTTGGTTTTGGCTTTTTTTTTTTAAATGTGTATATACGATGTAAAGGATATTTGTTTTGGATGGATTTAAAACACAGAGCTAGCCTATTTCTATTTTGCGTGAAATCATGAATCCTAAAAAATTATTTCTACCCAAGCTTATTCCCTCCATCAGGGCAGGAAGTGTTAACTACATGTTTCTGTCTAGCACCTGCCACAGCCATGCTTGCATATTCAAGGGCTTGCCTATTCAGCTTGTGATCCATGACAGAAGTCAGCATTTTCTAGGCTATTCCTAGTCCTTGGCCTGTCTGACTTTCCATCTGCCCCCTTCCTAAGGTTAGGACTTCCAGTTATCTTCTGGCTCTGTCTTGGGGAAACCAAGGTTTTTGTTGGATAGCTTCCTGGCAGTACAACCCAGGAAGATTATGGTGGTCTTCCCATGTCTTTTCATTCCTAATTCTTCAAACACCTCACCTTACCGCAAATATGGGAATATTAGTAATACCATTGAAGCTACCCTAATGGGATTTTTATAAGGATAAATTGAGATTATAAATATGAAATGCAAATAATAATTATTGTTATTTGGCTTCCTCAGGATTCTTTGTCAGCAAGATGAGATCTCCTCCCCTAAAAAGACGTTAGTATGATGATCTTTTAGATTTATATTATATTTAAATGTCATTTAGGTGGGTGGTACTTTACCCTGGGCTCTGAATTTCCTCTCTTGGTATGGGAAATGGTCTCCACATAGTATGTGCATAATTTGTATGGAAAAATCAGTTAACTGGCTCAGAAAGTAACTCTGCCATCATTATTATTGGAAAGGCCTTTCTGATGAGCAGAGAGCCTGAAATCTGGTTGAACAGCTCATTAGTAATCCTAGGGGAAGGACAGTTGAGTGGATAAAATGAGATCATTAATATTTCAGTTTGAACTCAGGCTGTGTTTGCTTGTAATTTCATATGTTGATTTACCATTGGGTAGAATATTTGCTTGTAGTTTAAAAGAATTGCTTAATAATAAACAATCACATAAAGAAAATTATACTCAAAATCTGCTGACCATAACAACCCACCTCTGGCCTTTTCTAATTTTTATCTGTGTGTACATGCATGGTATATACGTCGTGTGATTCAATACATATAATCTTTTTTTAGCACATATATTTTTATTTTTACTTTTCCAGTTGTTTACATGTTATTCTTTGTATCTACCTTTTTGATTTCTAATAATCCATGGAACTAATACGCACATTCACAGTGCTTTTATGTGCAATTCCAAAATCCAAAAAGCTCTTAAAACCAAAAATTATTTTATTAATTCATTTGGCATCAAAACTGACCTGACCTGAATTAATTCCTTGGCAAAACATATATGAATTGACATGAGCTATCTATATTTGTCTTTTATTTATCTGTAAATATGAGTGTTTATTTCACTACAAATATATCACCACACATTTCACTGAAGATCTGTCAATATGTTTGATTACAGGGTGCAGCTTCAGATTATACCTTGTAATGTTATAAAGTATATGCCAGGCTATCTTTCTAAAATTCCAAAAATTTTAAATTCAGAAATGTAGTAGGACCCAACGGGCTGTGAGTTAGGATAATGGGCCCATGCCTTCATTTGCTTCATTATTTTCCCTGTAGTTTAGGTCCCCTCACACTCACTATTCTTAGCTGTTGTAAATAATATGACTTAAAAACATCTGTATTGTATAGCTTGCTTTCTTCTTCTTTTTCTAAATTTTTTAACCTTTAATTTTGAGAGACAGAGACAGAGCACAAGCAGGGGAGGGGCAGAGAGAGACACACACACAATCTGAAGCCAGCTCCAGGCTCTGAGCTGTCAGCACAGAGCCCAATGTAGGGCTCAACCCCATGAACCGTGAGATCATGACCTGAGCTGAAGTTGGAAGCTTAACCGACTAAGTCACCCAAGCACCCCTGTATAGCCTTTTTCCATTTAAATTTCATTAGACCCTTAATATTCATGAAGGATGTATCTGAGATCATCTCAAATCCTCATGTTCTTGACTTTGGTGATATTTGACCAGATTCTTGCCTTTCTACTCAGTCACATGATTCTTGAGAGTTAGATTTTTCCTGTTTGTCCTCATACTGTAAATTGATCCTCATATCAAAATCTTACACTGAGGTTTTGTCTCTCACTCGAAGGCCATTTTTTTTTTTTAAGAGAAAGCAAAAAAAACTTCGTAATAGTTACTGTATACATGATGAATAACGAATAACAACCATATTGTTGTTGGGGATGCTGAACTATTAGATTCATTCTCTAAATTACAGCCTGAAGCAGAGGATTCAGATTTGTGCCTACCAAATTTCATCTAATCCCTGTCCAAACAAAGGTATGGCATGTCCTAGACTTCCAGAGTTGCTCTCTGACAATCAGAATTTTAAATCAGTGGAGGCTAAGGGTTGATATACTTTTTTCTTATAACAAAATCTTCAAATCTACTTTTTACCATGTACTTTTCTTAATGTCGTTCCTTTGCCACACTCATTCCAATTGATTTTAAATCCTGCAGAATTTTGTCTCTACTATCTCTTGTATGTGTTCTGTTCCGATAATCCTCACATTGATTTCTTTAGTCAGTCACCTTGAGCTTCACTGCTTGATTGGACTAGATGTGGGTATCCCATTTACCTGCTTTAGTCTTCTCATTCTGACTCTCTTGGTGTTTGTCTCCTCTCTTGCTATTCTCTTTTCCGTCAAGGTGAAAACAAACATGGGAAAGCCCTAAAACTTTAGAATCTAGAACTTTACTGCTTTACTGGCTCTGCCTCTCTATATCAAGCTTTTAAAAAATCAGCTCCTTGATCCACTCATGATTAACCTATTTAAAAACATTGATTAAAAAAAGCTTTTTTAGAAAGCAGAGAAAATGCAAATCTTTCACTTCAATACTTAATGCTAGTCAGACTTCAAGATCTCTTGATTTTATTAAGAACACAATTTAAAAGAAAATTAAAACATTTTAAACCCTAAACAAAGAAAAGTAGATAAGGATGAAAAATTATTTTGCTTATGCTTAGAGTCGTTATCAACGTCTTAGCTTGGAAAATATGTTAAATTAGGTTGTCAAACTGGCATTTAGTAGATGATTTAAAGCATCTTGCTATTTATAATAACTAAATAAATAAACCTGAAAGTTAACAAGAGCAACTGATCATGATTACTTTCATGTTAGTGATTGCCTGACTTACATTTTTTAAAATATAAAAGTTTATTTCATTTTATCCATTAAAGGATTGCCTTGTCCTTGTAGAAAATTCATAAGGTAGAAAAATACCCATCATTCTGTTATTGGAACACAACCCAAATTAAATTTCTGGTGTATTTTGTTACAGTTTTGTGTGTATATGTGCACATAAAAAATAATCTTAATTGTAGTGTTTGCAATCTGATCTCTTAACAGTGACAGAATACCAGGTTAAACCATCACTAAAAAAAGTGTCTTCCAGCCCCATGTTGGTTCCTCTCTATCTCTGCTTGATTACATCAGCAGTACTGGACTGTTCATTGCTTTCATTGAGTAGGGATAGAACCACCTTGTTCTGGTTAAACGGACTGCCCAATCCTGTGCTTTTCCCTTGCATTTGAAAGCCGAAGCTTTTGTCAAATGCCACTGAGGAGGCTACTCTGGCTTCTCCTTAGTCTCAAATTTCACACTTGTCAGGGTAATTTTGCATTTTTTGCTAGACTTAATCCTTAAGTAGACATCTCTAGTTAGATAATTCCCTAATCATATTTCAGCAAAAAGGTGTGAGAGACAGATTTCTACTGTTATTACTTTGCATTTAAAGATAAAAATGTTCTGGTCCTTTAATGATACTCATTTTTATTAGTCTTCTGTTTCTTTCCTTAAAGTAATAGTAAGAGATGTTATAAGTACAGATACTGATTACAAAGGTAAAAGGTTATAATTCATTTTGAAAGTAAATTTCATTATTAGATTAGGTTCATCCACTGGTGAATCAACTGGTGCTAACACCACCCCTGACCACAGCTTTTTTTCCTATCTTATTTATCCTAAATCCTCATAATCCTGGCCCTAAAAAAAACCCCACAATACAAAACTTATTTTTGTCAGCTGCCCTATTTTTTGGATATGATCTCAAGAGCTACATTAAATATTTGAAATAACATAATATTATGCAGAATTCTGTGGTAATCCACTTTGAAAAAAAATCTTCAAAACGATGTCAGCATTAGGCAAAAATTCAGGAAGTAGAGAATTATCATTCTCATTTTTCCCCTGGTGTTCTTCAGAGTTTCATAACCTAATATCTGAAGTTATTTTGAAGGTGCTGTTTTAAATTGTCTGATCCTGCTGATAGGGAGTGGTGGGTTTAGAAATTGTTCTAGTCCTAGTTGAAATTTCAAGAAACTTTTCTTACCCCAGCTTGTAAGCCACAAGTCAGAAGATTCTAATATAATCCTTCTTAGGATTGCAAAAACAAGCATTGGAGGGAGTATTGATATGTCTGATGATTATGACATTAAGTGACTGAAGATTATCATACCAGAACCAGATGCATATGATGGGTCATTCCTGCCATAAGCCAGCCAGAATAAGCAGCAATGAGGTTATCTCTGCTCTTAGAGAGAGCCCCTGAGTTGTGAACATGGTAATTAAAAACAAAGTGACACCAGCTGCTTATTAAGCAATAACTGTTGTTCATTTGAATTACAATTCTCCTTGGCCCTCCACCTGCTTTCTTACTGGTCTGGCCTACCTTCTTTCAGGCCCAGGCCTGGGAGTGCTTGCAAGATATAGTTGGGGTAAAATGTTGACTTTTGGTGGACACCACGGAGTCACATTGATGCAGATAAGGCACATGGCTGTGGCAGGATTCAGCTCCTTCATCAATTTTCAGGTTAGTATGGCTGAATCAATTATAGTTTGTAGAAGTTCCCTTACTGCAGACTTTACTGGCAGTTGAGACTGGGATCTTTCTTCCATGAGAGACATGGTACTATGCCACATTACTTTGGAATACAATGTTGGACATGGTTGCAGTCATATTGAAAACTACTACTGTAGGTATTTGTCTAATTATTCAAACTTTTATTCTTTTAGACAACCCTTCCTCAGACAGTTTTCTTGGCTCAGGAGATCTAAGAACCTTTGGCCAGAGTGCAAATGGCCAGTGGAGAAATTCCACTCCAGCATCAGGTTCAACTTTACAAAAATCAAGAAACAGCCGAAGTCTTTACCTCGAAACCCGAAAGACCTCAAGGTAGGTATTCTGGCTGCTTAGTTTAGAAGTCTTTCCTCTGGTATAAGAGAAAATGGCCATAAGATAGATGTTAACATTGGCATTTTAAAAGAGTAACACCATTTCTGGACTTTAAGCCACGAAAATATGGACAAATCCATTTTAAATTTTCAACTTTTAATTTACTTGGTGCTGAATTTTGGTGACAACCAAAACTGCTTATTTGAGGAGAGTTTTGAGAGAAATCTTGGTGCATATGAATCTTAATGTGGAAATCGTTCAATATCTACAACTTCAGTAGCGAAGAAATCAGCGTGTTTTTATAGGTTTTCACATGAGCAGAGACTTGGCTTAAACCAGAGAAGTTCTGCATCTCATGGCCTTAGAGCTTTATCCTTTTCAGCCCAATTTCACAAGCACTACCTATTTCCTCACTAAGCTTATACACAGTATTAAAGACAGATGAAGTTTGGCTTACAAAGTTTTCCCTCAAGAACTTTATTAGTAAAATACTTCTTTTTTAAAATAGTATTTATGACTTATTAAATTTTACTCTGGTGATGGATTTTAGGAATGTGGGATCATTTAATTTCCTGTTTAGTCAAAACTAAGCTTTCTGGTGTTGATAGAAACAAATGAGATGGCTTTTACTTTATGATTATCAGCACATGGACTCTGGAAACATGTCAGTACTCTCAAGGCTAGTCTTCCCTACTCATTTTTTTTTTTTAGTTACACAAGAATTCATTAATACATTCACACTGTAAAAATTAAAACATTGTCAGTAAAACTGAAGATTCCTTGACCACAATCTTATTCCTTACAATCTTATTCCCCTCCCCTTGGTATATTTCCTTTCAAACCTTTCCCTATGTTTGTTAATCTTTTGCTCTTATATAGCATGAGATATATGCATGTGTGCTATGAAATGTATAATGTTATTTTGTCTTCATTAAAGATTTTCCGTATGTATCATTTGGCAAGTTGCTTTTTTTACTCAGTAAGGCTATACTGTTATTTTAAAAAAATAACATTATTATAGAAACGAGTACATTTGCTTTGTAAAAAATCAGAAAATGCAGATAGGTAAAAATGAAAAATAAAAACATCATGTTTCCACCAGTTAGAGATCACCTCTGTAGTATCTTAGCACATTTCCTTCCAGATGTTTTCCTCTGCATTTATACACATTTTTTCAAACATGAATTCATACTGTGCATCTCTTAATCTGCTTTTTAAGTCAATTACATCTTTTCCATTTAGTAAATTTTGTCTTATACACTAAATTGTACTTAAGTTTTACTAATTGACTCAAAATATCCTTTATGGCTAGTTTGTCCAAACCAGTATATAATCTAGGATTGTATCCCGTGGTTATTGCCTTTAAGTCTCTTACAATCTAGAACAGCCTCTTTTTTCTTATGACGTGACTTTTATACATAATGTTCCACTCTTTGGATTCAACAGGTTTCTTCCTTATTATTTTGTCATCTATCCTCTGTATTTTTTTGTAAATTAGATTTTTGTCTTCAATAAAAGCTGGTGATGTGTTATATCACATAGAAAAACTTTAAATCTGGTTCTCCTGTCATTAGTGATACTCGATTGACTTCTGGATTAGGAAGATAACAATCTGGTCCTTTTGTACAGTTAGGTTTTTCCTCCCTTGTGATTAGAATATAATTGATGTAAATGATGTTACTTTGGTGTTTATATCAATGACTAGTTTTACATCAGCCTAATAGTTATTCATGTCAATTGATAACCATTACCTGATAATTTTTAAAAATTGAGGTATAATTGACATATTCCATTAATTTCAGGTATATAAACATAATGATTCAGTAATTGTATTTATTGCAAAGTGATCATCATAGTAAGTCTACTTAACATTTATCACCATACATTGTTAAAAAATTATTTTTTCTTATGATAAGAACTTTTAAGACCTACTCTAAACAACTTTTAAATATGCTATACGGTATTATTAATTATAGTCACCAGGCTGTATGTTACATCCCCAAGACTTACTTATTTTAGAACTCAGAAGTTTGTATCTTTTGACCTTCTTTGACTTGATAATAATTTTATTAGACTTAATGAAATAATACTTTTCCAATGTTATTATTTCTTCTATACTTATTGTCACTCTGCTATGAAGGAGAGCTTTTTTTCCTCAGTAGATATGGTTGTTTGGTTACTCTAAGATATATCTACTGGGAAGACAGGATATATGATTAGATCTTTTCCATTACCAATTTTCAGTGTGAGTTTTGTGTTTTTTTTAATAGCTACTTTTTGTGGTTGAGAGGAATTTTTCTTTTCTTTTTAAGGTCATTATAGGTTCAGTGTGTTTCAGTCTGCTACCATCATTATTCTTGTAATGTTCACATTCTCACAGCTCTATCCAGTGGGAGTTCTTTCAAGCTAACTGCTGTGTCTTGCCCAACCTCATTAATTGTTGGAAGCATCCTTGCTTTCTGGCATTGCAAGATGCCCTCCCACTGTTTTTTTTGTTTGTTTGTTTGTTTGGAAAAAAAGCTTTTGCATTAAACACACACACCCTTTAGGAAGCATCAATAAAGAAGACATTGTGGGGAATTCATTATATCTTCACCAAGCAAATTATATCGTCCTTTTTTGTAGCTACATCTACTCTTCCTAAAGAAATAAGCCTGTTCCCAAAATTCTGAGTCCTTGTTCCTTTCCCACACTCTAACACACATAGAAACCATTATAATTTGAAGAGTTAAAAGCAGAGCATGTAAGTGCTTTTTTTTTTTTAAGTTTTTAATTCCAGTTGACATATAGTGTTATGTCAGTTTCAGGCATACAGTATAGTGATTCAGCACTTCCATACAGCATCCAGTGCTCATCAGGAGTGCATTCCTTAATCCCCATTACCTATTTCACCCATTCCCCCACCACCTCCCCTAAGATAAGCATCTGTTTGTTCTGTATAATTAAGAGGCTGTTTCTTGACTTGTTTCTTTTTTTCCTTTTGAGAGAACATGTAAGTGCTTTTTTATTTTCTTTAGTTGTAGTCTGATTTCATTTGAATCCAGACTAATTGTACTGATTTAAAGAGTTGTTTTCATTGAATTCAGTTTAGTCAGCTGTGTATTCTGCATCCTCAGCAAAAAAAAAAAAAAAGGAAAAGAAAATTCAGTATGCTAAGAGCAAGTACCTTATACTTGCTGGGTAATAATAGATGAAAAAGATCACATAGAAAAAACTTTAAGATATTAATCAAATCTTAGAGATAAAACTGAGCTTTAAGTTCACAAAAACATTTTTCCTGCCAGTTTTTTCCTTTATTTGGGAGCACAAACAGTTTAAAGAAACAAAAACAAAATTCTCCTTCAGAGGAGGTAAATAGGCCAGAAGGAGAATTGGCAGAGAGCGATACAGCCTAAAAGAAAGCCTTCTGGTTGTTTTTAATGAAGGATGGGAGCCCTCTGTTGGTTTTTTAGGAAATTTTAAAATTGAGTTTAAAAGCTTCTTTGAGAGGCTTTAGCTTTATCCATCTTTGCATAAATAATTCCCTACAAAGGGCTTGAGGGAGGAGGCTGCAGCAGCTAAATAGAAAGTGTAAGATATGTAGAACCCAAGTTTTCTGGAAAAGTCTAACCTGATACACTTTTTGTCATAACCATACAGTTCCTGACCAAAGGAACTGTAAAGTTAAGAAATGCAGTTTTAGACATTTGATAATTATGTAGTGTGGGAATCTAGGACTTCTTAAGTAGCAGAACTTGATGCAGCAACGCATGCATTATTTCTTGTCTATGTCCCTCAAATAGTACATCCATCATTCTACCTGTTGACGTTTTCTTTTTGGTATTTCTTGAAAGTGAAAATCATTAAGTTGGATTTTCTTGCTGTTTTTTCTTACAAAATTTTTTTTTTTTTTAGTGGATTATCAAACACTTTTACAGGAAAGTCAAACTATCACTGCCATGTGTCTGCATACGAAAAATCTTTTCCTATTAAGCCTGTTCCAAGTCCATCTTGGAGTGGTTCATGTCGCCGAAACCTCTTGAGCCCCAAGAAAACTCAGAGGCGACATGTTAGTACAGCAGAAGAGGTAAGGAAAACCTGCAACAAACGCTGCTAAAGGTTAGACTCTTTCCTTGTATTCAGCCGTTTGCTCTTCTGATTCAGATGTTTACTCACCATTCCTTTCTCTGCTTTTTGTTTCTTAATTTTTTGAGTGCCATCATCTGTGCTAAAGTAATTAGAGATTTTATCAGGACTTCATTATTTTTCTTACCATTGTCTCTGTTCCTCTTGGGCAGCAGATTTAAATTTCAGTAATTTCTAAATGAGTTCTCATACATCAAACTATTTCTGTTTTCTCTTTTTTGGATCCTTTCTTAACTGTTGTTTCATATGGCAAAACTGTTAACCCTGCTGGGTTTGATAAAATACCTGCCCTTATTTCTTATTAGGACAATTTTCCCTCAGTATAAAAGGAAAATCAAGAAGCCAGCTAAATAATTTACAAGCCCTTCATTATGAGTAAGAAGATCTTTGAGATCATAGATATTCCCCAAAATAAAGATGTTTTGTTGACACTTTCATTGTTATATGCATTCAGTAAGCCTAAAGGAAAAATTCAATTCTGTAAATATTGTATAGCATATAATTTATGTGGTAGGAAATGTGCTTGTACCTGTTAAATACCGTATTACTGTGTTGAATCATTTTAATCCTGGGAAATAGAGAGGAAGTGATAGCCACATTTTACACATTAGGAGAGTAAGGGTCAGAGGCAACACAGTTAGTAAATGGTCAGCCTACAACCCAGGTCTTCTCGAGTCTAGTCTGGTATGCATGGTGTTACACATTGGTACAGTTCCAGCCCATTGGAGCTTACAGACTGGGGAGTCAAGAATACAACATTATGTGCTAAATAATTAGTTTGTTAATGAATCTCGTTTAAGTGGCAAAACTTGATTATTTGTGACATGGTTAGTAAAAATGCTGTGCATTTTTTGGCTTTAAGTTTGTATTGAATCTAAAATATTCAAGCAGAGGGTGGCAGAACTAGTAAGTCATATTTAGTAGGGAAAGGATAGATAAGAAACAGGCAGCAGTTGCCTTTGGTGATAAGAGCTGAGCAACACAAGAGTGAGATTTATTTTTCACTTTTGTACTATTGAATTTAGTACCATGATGTATGTATTAGTTATTACATACATGAATCATATTTTTTAATTACTGGGGTTGTGCTTGTGCTGGGTCATAGGCAGCCTATGAGGTACAGAGAGACTTGTTGAGCATGGCAGCTGGATACTGGCCTCCCAGCCCTCCCCTGCCCCATGTGGCTGCTTCTGAGATCACTAGGATCCTTAAGACTATCTGTTTTCATTATAATCCCACCATTCACCCACAGCTAACCAGTCCTTTGGACCGCTCAGCCCTTCCTCCTTTCACCTCTACCTCCAGCCTGAGGACTTGGGCTAGGTGAATAATTTTATCCTTCCAACCAACCCTCTAGGCCAGTGTCCAGGCTGAGCCAGTGGAGGACATGAAGGTGGAGTTTCTCTTCCTTCTACAGTGTCAGGATGCCAAGGATTGAATTTATTCTGTGAAACGAGATGCAAAAAATTTTGTCTCAGTTGTTTTTAGGTCTATATTCTGGTATGAAAATCGAGTCACTTGTAGTACAGGAATATGGAATTACCCATATAATATGAATAAGATAAAAATATTGGAACAAATTCTATTAAATCACAGTATCAACAGATTATTCAGATATTTAATCTTGGATAGTACAGATAATCTAGATTAAAATACAATTCTTTTTCTTCCCTTGGGAATAAAGAATTTACTGATGGAGCTTACAAACTGAAGGAAAAATCATCTTCCATGGAAATGTTGCGATTACCAAGGGAGATGCAGCTGCTTATATTAAGAAAGGAAAATTCTATGTTAATCTTACTGCTGGATTTATTTATTACCTTCAGGAATATAAAGCCATCTATGAAATTAACATGATATTAACCACTGAACTGTTCAGTCTTATAGTAGGAGTTTAAAAAGAATACATAGGGGTGCCTGGGTGGCTCAGTCGGTTAAGCATCTGACTTTGGCTCAGGTCATGATCTCACGGTTCGTGGGTTCAAGCTCCATGTTGGGCTCTGTGCTGACAGCTCAGAGTCTGGAGCCTGTTTGGGATTCTGTGTCTCTGTCTCTCTCTGACCCTCCCCTGCTCACGCTGTCTCTCTCTCAGAAATAAATAAAACATTAAAAAAATTAATTAAAAAGAATACATAAAGAAGAATTTGGAAATATGTTAGTAATGACTAGACCGCCACTTGGCTGATGGCTTATTCAAGGATATCATTAAAGAACTGTATGAATAGGGTAACCACTAGCCATATGCACTACTGAAATTCAGATTAAATTATAATTTATATATGTAATATAAATATATACAAATATAAGTGAAAATTTAGTTTCTCAGTCATACTAGCTGCATTTCAAGTACTCACATATTGCTAGTGGCTACCATACTGGACAGTGTAGAGTACTTCCGTTTTAACTGAGAGTTCTGTTAACATTGTTTAGAGGATATGAATTTCTGTTTGGGAAAGAGAAAATACTACGGACAATAAAAATGTAAAATGGTAAAAACACATATAGTTTCCTTTCACTGGTATGTTGCTTCCAGACATCCTTCTCTGCAACATCTTGACAAACCTTTTAAGATGTTGGATTTCCTTAATGGACAACACTGATGTTTTTATTCATAAAAAAATCTGAAACACTTTACAATTCTGGATTTTTTAAAGCTTTTAAAAATATGTTTATTTTTTGAGAGAGAGCAGAGAAGGGGTAGAGAGAGAGGAAGATTGAGTCCCAGGCAGGCTGTGTACTAGATGTACCAGATGTGGGGCTCGAACCCATGAATCGTGAGATTGTGACCTGAGCTGAACTCGAGAGTCGGACACTTAACTGACTGAGCCACCCAGGTGCCTCTACAATTTTGTTATAACCAAGAATTTTGGACTTAAAAACAGAAGGTTGTTAAATTATATACTTTTTTTTTTTAAGTTTTTTTTTTAAAGTTTTTTTTTATTTATTTCTGGAGAGAGAGAGTGAGCAGTGGAGGGTCAGAGAGAGAGGGAGTCACAGACTGAAACAGGCTCCAGGCTCTGAGCTGGCAGTCAGCACAGAGCCCGACGCGGGGCTCGAACCCACGAACCGTGAGATCATGACCTAAGCGAAAGTCGGACGCTCAACCAACTAAGCCACCCAGACGCCCCTTAAATTATATACTTTGATAGTTGAGATTTATATAGTATAAAGCTTTTACTTTAAACATAATCAAAATTGGAATATTTATGAAGTTTTTTGAGTAATTTGTAATAAAAAGTTGTGTTAGTTTCCTAAAATTTATTTTGTGTTCTCTGTTAAATTTTTATAATTTTATAGACAGTTCAGTTCTTTGATACAGCCTCTTACAGAAGCATCTAAATACAAGAATCTGGCACATATTTTCAAAATAGAACCCAACACTTTAATTACCTTTATGATATTTGAGACTTTCCTTGGTCCTTTATTAGGTTTAACACGTATTATCCAGCTTCTTTTATTTTAACATGTTACCTATTATTACTTCCTTTCCTCTTAATTTAATAATTTGCTTACTCAGTAGAAATAGTTTAATAAGTAATATACGGAGAAAGATGTTTTCTTTTACTTTATAGTACCAGATGCTCCAAAAAAGAATTGTGTTTGAAGTTTCAAGTGACTCCCCTTTTTGCATTTTATTTTGGTGAAGCCAGGTATTACACATACGTTCTTTTGAGAGTTGCCTCTACTATCTTCTCTTTTTCTGAAATGGTTCTAAATAAAAGATAAATTCTTGTGACCTCTAAATTATCATTTAGAGGTTTAAAGAGACCTTAGATAATTGTTTGGAATACAGAACATCTATTCCTATCCATTTTATGTTGTCTAATGACTGTGAGGTTGTTCAGGTTTAGACAGAAGCTTTTCTTTGACGATACATGTACTGGGGAAAATGATTTGTGGGCGAGTTGTGTGTGTTTAATTGATTTTTAAAAATCAGTTCTTACATTGAATTAATCTAGTTGAGTCACTTAATGGCACTCTGGTTCTTCATGTTTTATTTATAAGTATAAAAATTTATTCTATGAAACCATTTTGCTATGTGATAGAAGGGAGGAGAGAAGCATTTTTAACTTTTTAGGGTTGAAGTCTATAGGGTACCACAAACAAAGATCTTTTCTATTTCACTGTTCTCAGTGTGCTCTTGAAGTCTTCATGGGATGAGGATGTTTCTTTACATCTCTTGGTATGCAGAGTAACCTATTACACCAGCTTATCTGCTTTATTTTCCTTCCTATGATGTGATAATGCAGTCAAAGCTTTTTAAAATCTAGTTCTGTAAGGAAGTGGAAATGAACTAAAATGATTGATTAATTAAAGAGTTAGGGGTGCTTGGGTGGCTCAGTCGGTAGAGTGTCCAGGTTCAGCACATTGGGCTCTGTACTGACAGTACGGAGCCTGCTTGAGATTCTCTCTCTCTCTCTCTCTCTCTTTCTCTCTCTCCCTCTCCCTCTCTCTCTCTCCCCCTCTCCCTCTCTCTCTCCCTCTCTCTCTGTCCCTCCCTACTTACATGCATGTGCTCTCTCTCTCTCTCTCTCAAAATAAATAAAATTTAAAAATAATTTTTAAAAAAGTTAATTTCCATGACCTAGGTGGTGGTATTCTTCTGATTTCCCTTCATACCATCCATTTTACCACTCCTGAAAACATGTTAACCCCATTTTATTGTGGATTATGAATTAGTTTATTTGGTGTAGTGAGAAAGTAGAGTCAAAATTTACATTGGGAAGTATTGAAAAATTTCAGTCATGAAAGTTCCACATAACACAGTTTTCCTGTATATAGATCACTATGAAGTTGGTTGTCAGTCTCTTACAACCTCAACAATTGTAATGATGCTTCATTCTTCGAACTGGCTAAGTAAAGAACTTTTATGATCACAAATCTAGGTTTTAATAAAAAGGCATTTATTTTAATTATAGTTTTTAAATTTATCTCAGATACTCATGGCCTCCCCAGTAGAATAGCTGAAAACTACAGATTTGGCCATTGATATTAATGTATACCTGCTAGTGGTCTTTCTCTACATTATAATTTTTGTGCTGTCACTGAAGTGCCTGCCCAATACTATAGACAGTTTCTTCACAAACACTAGGAAAGAGGACTGTCATTATATTAAATACAGTATTAATGTATAAAGGATAAAATAATGGAGTTTTATTTTCTTCATATAGAAAATTGCAATTTGTTTTTCCCCCTGCAATTTATTTTTCCACCAAATGCTCAACCAATTCTACTTCTTTTCTTTTTCTAAAAAAATTTTAATGTTTTATTTATTTCTGAGAGAGAGCGAGAGAGAGAGAGAAAGAGACAGCATGAGCAAGGGAGGGTCAGAGAGAGAGGGAGACACAGAATCTGAAAAGGCTTCAGGCTCTGAGCTAGCTGTCAGCACAGAGCCCGACATGGGGCTCGAACCCACAAACCATGAGATCATGACCTGAGCCAAAGTTGGAAGCTCAATTGACTGAGCCACCTAGGCACCCCTCTACTTATTTTCTTAATACTCATCTATTCAAATTTAAGGATAGCCCTTTTTCATAATGAGTATTCATGCCTCATAGTTCAAGGTGAATCTTGTTAGACTAGTAACATTATAGTGACAATGTAATTGAAATTTACTATGCAGGAAACAGTGATCAAGAAGAGAAAACTTAGTGTCTGTTTGCCTTTACATAGATAGTTGCTTAACAAAACATTCTGATTTTAACAAAATGTGTCTACACATATTGAAATGTCACAATGCAGGATGCTGCTAGCCCTGGCACAAAGTATTAAAATTATTTCATGAAGATTGGTGGTTATATTAAACTGAATATAAGATTTTTTAAAGTACCAGAGTATATTATTTAGTGAATGCTTCCCATTGTTTCTGTGGATGAGTATAGAATAGATGCTTTACTATGGTTAAAGTCCTTATGTAATCTGGTTCTCTGCTAAGTGACCTCATTTCTTGCTGCTCTTCTGATTCACACTGACCTTACTTTTCCTTGAAAACAACAGGCACATACCTGTTTCAGGGACTTTGTATTTGCTATCTGGAATAGTCTTTTATAAATTTCTATGACTTACCTCTTCCCTTGATGTAGGTTTCTGTTGAAATATCACCTTTTTAGTGGGGTCTTACCTGTTCCTGATGTTTCCCCTCCATCACTTTCTGTTTCCTTATCTTTAATTTTGTCATACTGTTTGACTAGTCTCGTTTGCCAGTCCCCTTAACTGTAATATAAACTCCACAAGGACAAGAATATTATTTTGTTCAGTGCAGTATCTCTAGTGCTTAGTAGGTATTCAAGTCAATAAATGAATGAATGAATGTTATGGAGTGTGTTCTTTTCCCTAAATTTAGTATTGGGGTTTAGGAAAAAAGAATAAATATTTGAGACAAAAACCATCTCTGGAAAATGCTTATACTGTTAAAAATTGAACAGGATAGAAAACAGCAAGGTATCCCACTCTCATCTTGGCTATTCTGGTTGCTTCCTTGTGATTTTTTTAAGTAGATGTCAGGAATTAAGGGGTTTGTTGGAATCCTAATTGAGAGGATGTTTTGTTTCAAATGTTTTGTTTCTAGGACTGACTCAGTTGACTCAAAAGTGATTGCCTACTGGCCTTCTGCTTTCATATCCTATAGCTTCTCTGCACTATTATTTACATATATGCCCCATAATTTTCCAAAATATACTATCCCATATTTATTCCATTTAACTCCTGTTATAATTTTCTAGATATCTGTAATGCTAATTCTTAATTATCTTGAGGGATTCTGCCTGAACTTTGGCAGAGCTTCTGGGAATTTAGATGCTGCTTTGAAAAAAATTTGTCTTCTTGGATGTGTTTAAGGTTTCTTCTTTTTTTTTTCTCTAGACAGTCCAAGAAGAAGAAAGAGAGATTTACAGACAGCTGCTACAGATGGTCACAGGGAAACAGTTTTCTGTAGCCAAACCCACCACACATTTTCCTTTACACCTGTAAGTCCCAGAAACATATATCAAATGAAATTAATTCTATACTTTGTTATTTGAAATCGAAACTATATTCTCCTCTTGCTAGGTCCCGATGTCTTAGTTCCAATAAGAATACTTTGAAAGACCCACTTTTTAAAAATGGAAGCTCTTGTGCAGCTCAGATTATTGGCTCTGATACTTCATCATCTGGATCTGCCAGCATTTTAACTACCCAGGAACAAGTGTCCCACAGTGTGTATTCCCTATCATCATATGCCCCAGATGTTGCATTTGGATCCAAAGATTCTGATCCTCTCCATCAACCCCAAAATCACCACTCTCTTCTACATCAGCCAGATAACTTACCAGCTTCAAATACACAATCGGAAGGTAAAAATAGTTTCATATAACCATATTTTCAGTAATAATACCCAATTAACTGTTTATGGGATCTATGGGAATTGCAGGGTTATAATGTGCATGTAACTTAATTAACATATGAAATATTTTAAATATATATAATTCAGTTAGCCATACCACAAATAAACTAAACCTATAAATAACTTACTTTTTTTCTTGCATGGAGATGCAAATGGTCTCATACAATATTTTATTTAGAAGATTAACTTCCTGAGCAGTGTCTCGAGTCAGAGTACAGTCATCCCAACTACTTCAGTACTTTCTCTGTTTCTAGTACTTTTCAATGAACATTAAGTACTCTGAAGTTCCTAGAGTTTTGGAACATCAATTAAGTGTTGAAGTAAAAGTTCTTAACCAGGCAGTACTTAGAAAACCTGTATAGTAGGTTTATGCATTTTAGAATGGTCATCAGCAAATTTTGGAAACAAAAAGTTTTCTCCTTAACTTTCAGGTAACCAAAAATCCAGATACTTAGCACTGCAATTAATTAAAGTTTCCTATGATGATTTTCTTTGCTTAGTTTTCCCCTTCTTTAGGTGTGTGTTATGTGTATTTATGATAGCATGTGTTTAGGTATATAACTTAAAACAAGTTTTAGGTTAAGTGGTTAGACATTAGGGATCTTTTGATAGATCAATCTCTAAGGCTTTTTCTTCCTTAAGTTTTTTTTTTTTTTTTTTAAGATATTTCTCACTTTCTTAAAATTTTTACTTGGGGATGAAAAGAGTGGCATCACTATATGGCTACACATATTCAAGGAAACCTTTATAAAACTTTATGAGATGATTTACTGGGAACTACCATTTAAAACAAGCCTATAACCTCAGAAACATACATTGTATGACAAATACTTAGCTACAACTAAACTGAAACAAATATGTATGCTATAGTACACTGAATGTTTCATTACTTTCCTTGTATGATTTAATAAATATTTTAAATGTGGTTCCAGTCATTTAGATTAGAAGGACATGATTCCTGCCTTTATCAATAACACAGAAAATAAATGCTAGAATTTGTGCTTTTTAGACCCTGCTACTTCTATAGCTATTTGTCTGTCTTTCTGCCTCCCCATCCCCTCTTTCACCTTAAAGACTTTTGAGAAATCTTGGCTTATTCTTATTCCCCAGAAACAGAAAAAAGCAGCATAGGAATCAAGCACAGCCCAGGAATAAATGATGAGGGGCACATATACTTGTATTTTTAGAGCGACTGTGAGGCAGGCTCTTCATAAGCCCTATTTCTGACTCAGTGAAGATGGACCTGCCTCTTTTTCTCTTTCATCTTCCCTTTGTCCTTGTGCTTCTTTATTTTATGAAAATAGAATATATTGAAGTATGGGAACTTAAACTATAGACACCTAGAGTGTATGACTGGGTAGAATTTTTTTAATAATAATATACTGTTCTGTTTTTTTGTTGTTGTTTTTTTAGGATCAGACTCCGTGATTTTACTCAAAGTGAAAGATTCCCAGACTCCAACTCCCAGGTAAACTATGGAAAAAAGACATTCTTGACATATTGTTTTCTTTTCCCTCTCTTTAATCACAATTTCTTCACTAAGCATTGCATAAAATAAAAGTAAAATTGCCTCAATTCAGATTTCTCACCTGTGTTATTTGAATGATTTCAGTGACTTTCTAATTGGTCTTCTTCTTCCAGCCTCCTTGTTGTACAAGTTTCATTCCATCTTCTGCCATATTCTCTGATCCATTCTTTGACTGTTCTTTTCCATCTTCCATTCTACAACCAGAGTGGTCTTTCTAAAATGTGTATCTGATCATTCATCAAACTCCCTCAGGACTAGCTATCAGACATAAATCAAGCCCAGACTCCTTAGTATACAAAGTATTTCCTCTGCATGCCTTACTTCCTATCACACATTCTTTCCTTTAACAAGTATTAACTGATAGCCTACTGTGTACTGTGTCCTAATACAGACATTGGGGATAACAGCAGTGACCAAAATGAAATTCCTGCTCTCAAAGGGCTTACATTCTAGTTGTAAGGGGTGTAAGGAAAGAGATAGGGGTCTGATTATGAACACATAAATATTCATATATGTCTGATAGTGATAAATGCTGTGAAGAAAACTAAAGCAGGGCAATATATAGACTGGGGTTAGGGAGGCACTGTTTATTTGGGTGGTCATGGCAAGGCTGAGAAGTGACATTTGAGAAGAGACATGATAGAGGTGAGAGAAGGAGTCATACGGGAAGATGGATGTCTTTCATGTGTTAATTACATGCCGAACATGTAGTGTGTGATATGTGCTTTGTTACTGAGTTCCCTCTGCCTCATAATTAACCCTACCTCAACTTGTATATCTAAAGAAGCAGGGGTCTTTTTCTTAGATTTTAAGTCTCAATTCAAATGTGATTTTCTACATGATACTTCTATATGGAACTTCTTGCTGTGTAATTCAGTAGGTTACTACTTAGATTGCAATTTCTTTGCCATTCCTGTTTCTTGGCTTTAGCAGTTGAATTGCTGGAATGATAATGGTACCCTTTTTCCATTGAGAAAATTAGGAGTGATGAGATTTCTTTCTCATCTCAGTTTCTGTACTTCTTTGCAACTCTCCCATATGTCCTAAATTTTAGATATTTTTAAAAAATTCTGTTATATTTCCCAAGGAGACTTTACAATTTGGATTCCTTATTCTTTATGGGTTTTTGTTGTTGTTGTTGTTAAGACTTGGGTTCTGATCTTGTCCAGGTATCACATAACTTTAGACAAGTTACTCTTCTGAATCTTAGCTTCCTTATCAATAAAAACACCAGTGATAATACATTACTGTTTATTGAATTGCTGTGAAGGTTAACATACAGAAAAATACTTATAGTAAAAGTGTTTCAGGGTGCCTCAGTTGAGTGTCCAGGTCTTGATTTCAGCTTGGATCATGATCCCAGGGTCATGGTATTGAGCCCTGCATTTAGCTCCGCACTGAGTGTGGAGCCTGCTTGAGATTCTCTCTCTCTTTCTCTTTCTCTCTCTCTCTCTCTCTCTCTCCCCCCCTCTCTCTCCCCCCTCCTCCTCTCTCCCTCTCTCCCACTCCCTCTGCCCCCTTCCCTGCTCACATGCTCTCTCTCTCTCTCTAAAATAAAAAAAATAGAAGTGTTTCATGTGTAGTACACAAAAGTAGGTATTCTTTATTGGGAAAAAGTTGACCTCACGTAAAGAATGCTTTTAATTCTTTAATGGTTCCTTACTCAGTGTGCCTTTCTTTTATGGAGGATTTCTGTTAGTGATACCTGAAGAATGAGATGGAGGGGGAGAAATGATCTGTTGAGTAAGGCTGATTGAATAATGCTGTTTATTGTGGTTGGAGCCCACTCTCCCAAGGCTTGGCCGATTGGCTCTTTATTGCTAATCTCCCACCACTGCCTGTCCATTCTAGCAGTGGAGATCTGCCCTTCTTTCCTCGAATATACCATACTGTCTCCTATTTTTGTGCCATTGTACATGCTGATCCTAACCCCTGGAATTTCCTTTCTCTCCCTCTCCACTTGTTAATCTCTTGCTTTACTTTTCAAAATCTGACTCAGGTGTTATTCTTTTCTCAAGACATTACTCTGACTTCTCCAGATAGCATTAGTCTTTTTCTCTGGTACTTTTATCCCTATATCGTATTTATTACTAATACTTTTGCATTTATCATCTAGTGTGGATCAAAATGCCTGGCACTTGATGGGTATTTAGTAAATAAATCTTTTTTAAACAAATGAATTTCCTAGAGATCCTGGAATGCTCTCTTGCATAGCCCAAGAACTCATTTTCATGTTGGTTTGAGTCTGGTTTATTAAAAGGCACGTTACAATAGTAGAAATCACAGTCTTTGGAATTGGACAGACACAGTTTCTAATCCTGACTCCCCCAAGACAGATGATCCTTCTGAACCTCCCATTTCCTTTTCTATACAGTATGAGTAATAATTCCTTATTCTGTATTGAGGTTTAACTAATATGAGAATTATGAGGCTTAACTAATATAAAACATCTAGAGCTGAATCTCACACAGAGTACTAAGTAGGTGCTCATAAGTAGTTGTAGTTATTGTTTCTATATGCTTCAGTCATATAAGAAATAATGTATAATCTCTTTGAAAAGCAAGAAGATTTTGTTTTTTTCCCCCTGCATTTTACTTTCCTTAGCCAGCAAAGCCTGGGTCCACTGAAGAGAAATACTTTTATTCGTTTATTCAATAAGCACTGAGTACCTGCTGTGTGCCAGGCACAATTCTTGGTGCAGAGGATACAGTAGTAAATAGAATAGACAAAAATTCCTATCCTCTTTAAGTTTATGTTCTAATAAAGGAGGCAGACAAATTTCTATAGCATGATCCACTACTATGAAATTATGGGCAGTTCCTGTCACGTCTTGTATGTTGTGCAGTAAATGTGTTTTCATGTTCATTTGTTTTTAGTATCACACACTTAAGCCCCTCACAGTGCTACCACTGATCTCTTTTGCTTTCTATCTTGGTTGTTACGTCAGTATTCACTGTGCTGAGGGATAGGCTGCTTCTCCTAAGTTTTCCCCTTTTAGCCTCAGGGAGAGGCAGTAGAACAGCATGTTCATTGCCAAACCCTAGCCTAAGGATGATTGGGAATGCTAATTCTCAAAAGGTAGGCGAGGGAGCAAGGGAGTCCTTGTTCTTGCCTTCACCAGGACAGACTGTAGCAATTTAAGAACTGAAAGGGACTGTAACCTCCATATTTTACAGATCTGAAACCAAGACCCCTGGAAATGAAGTGACTTGTTCAAAGTCACACAGTGAATCAGGGACCACTCCAGGAGATCCAGTCTCTTAACTCCCAATTTGATGCTCTGTGTACTTCTACATGTATCTGAAAGTTTTCTTTGGAAAAGCGTTCACTCTTCTCTTTGTTTCTGTGAGAGATCACAGTTAGGGATTGGCAAGGAGATAAGGACGTGCAAGAAGAGCGAGGCTTTGGAAAAGGGAACATGTCTGTGACGATGTTAAGCATTATTCATTTGGGTTGTCAGCAAGAGCCGCATGGAATAGAATTGGCCTCTCCTCTGAAGTATTGCTAATTCTCCACTGTGGTTCATTGACTCACTAACTATTTGAAACAGAGTATTCTGTGGGTGGGGATTTTCAGTATCCAGTATGATTTGGTTGGATATATTTTGATTCAAGTAGACTGACAAGAAAGGAGTCCAGGAACCGTTAAGGTTTGACTAAATCATTAATAAATCTGTCGATCTGAACCATTTGGGAAGAGTAATGTTATAGCTTAATGCATTATCTTGACAAGTGATGTACTCTTGCATGTTGTGTTGGTCTCTTGCAAGTAAGGAGCTATGCTACAGTTTCTCTGCTGAACTTTGGGCCATCTTTTTTAACTAGTATGTATGTAAATGACTCATAGTTGTATTCCTTTAGTTCCCAGTTCCAATTATTTTATGTAATTTATGACTTTCTATTTATTGCATATGTATGTATAAAGCATTCTTTTAAATTATTTAAATGATCGGTTTTCTTGGTGAAAGTATTTGAATTTTCTTATGAGCCTCCTGTTCATTTGTTCTATTTTTTCCCCACCATAGTCCTGCGTTTTTCCAGGCAGAGCTGTGGATCAAGGAATTGTAAGTTACTGTTTTTGGTATCATTTTCTTCCTCAGTTGTTTCAGAAGAAGTCAATTAGCCAGTCACCCTACCTATTTTTAGTCAGTAAAATTTCCCTATTTATATCTGTTTATAAAACAACTTTTAAGTTGTTGGGTTCTTAAAATTCTATTGGGGTTGGGGCATTTCTATGCTCAGTTTTATTAAATATATAACAATTGCTGAAGCTAAATTGAATTGGAAAAGTATTTCAAAATTAGGTATTACATAAAAAGGAAAATAAATGCCCTTATTTTTACATTGGTAGAACTAAAATTATTGAATAATTCACATTTCTGGAGTTTGCAAAATCACTAATAAAAGTTTTTAGTTTCCAATTTCAATAACTCTAAGCTATTCAAATACCTGGTCTGGTTCATTGTTTTTAAAGAAAAAAAAAATAAACTCCTGTCTTTTTCTTTTGTATCGTAAATACAGTATTTGAATTAAAACCTCAGTAGTATCTGGGGCGCCTGGGTGGCTTAGTCGGTTGAGCGTCCGACTTTCGCTTAGGTCATGATCTCGCGGTTCATGGGTTCGAGCCCCGCATCGGGCTCTGTGCTGACTGCCAGCTCAGAGCCTGGAGCCTGTTTCAGTCTGTGACTCCCTCTCTCTCTGACCCTACCCTGCTCACGCTGTCTCTCTCTCTCTCTCTCTCCTAGAAATAAATAAAAAATATTTAAAAAAAAAAAAACAAAAAAACCTCAGTAGTATCTTTTTTATTTGCTCCTTTGGAATTCAGTCTCACTTTTGGATTTCTAGAATGAAGCTTCAGTTTCTCCATAATCTTAGAGATTGTGTTAATCTCAGAATTTTAATGTTTAAAAAAAAAAGCAATACACATTTACAAATATCCACAAAAGTCACCTGTTCACATTTAGCAACAAACTAATCATTTTCATCATTTCACTAAAAATAGTATGATAATTTGAATAATACCATTGTGGTTTCACTCTGCCTAAATAAATGATAAGGTTAGCGTAGGCACTTTAGACATTCTGTATGAGGGTTTTATATTTAATGCTCATTGTTCATCAACAGTATGCATGATGCTAAGACAGTGGTCTGCATTGTGTCACGTTCCTTTTCATTTCCTAGATCTAGTGTTTATGACTCTCGAGCACGGGAGAGATTGCGCCAGATTGAAGAGCAGAAAGCATTGGCATTGCAGCTTCAAAACCAGGTAAAAAAAATTTGGGGATAAGGTTGTAAATAAATAGCACATCCAAGTTGCAACTAATTTGGAAGATTACCTGGATTTGGGATCGAAGTTGGAATTGCAAGATGTTATGATGGCACAGCATAGCACTAACATTGTATGATTAGTCTGTGTGCTTGGTCTCTCCAGTGGCTCTACTCAGTGTATGTAGACAAATAGTAGTTTTCTTTGTCCCACTTATTCCTAAGTTCTGTTTTGCAGAGACTGCAGGAACAGGAACATTCAATACATGATTCAGTAGAACTGCATCTTCGTGTACCTCTTGAAAAGGAGATCCCTGTCACAATTACTCAAGAAACAGAAAAGAAAGGTCATAAATTAACTGATAGTGAAGATGAATTTCCTGAAATCACAGAGGTAAATTACATATTATGGATTCTTGTGCTAGCAAGTATGTTTAGAAAAAATACTTTGAATGAATTTTGAATAGAGAAATAATAGAACACCTGGCATTTAAAGTATGCAGTGTATTTGCATGCATACTCCTGCTTTCATTTGTATTACCAATCTTGGCTTTATTTTTATTTAAAGAAATTTTTTAATGTTTATTATTTTTGAGAGAGAGAGAGACAGAGGGCATGCAGGGGAAGGTCAGAAAGAGAGGGAGACACAGAATGAGAAGCAGACTCCAGGCTCTGAGCTGTTAGCACAGAGCCCGATGCAGGGCTCAAACTTACAGACTGGGAGATCATGACCTGAGCTGAAGTCCGACACTTAACCAACTGAGCCACCCAGACACCCCTCTTGGCTTTATTTTTAAGAATTATTGAAAATCGAGGAAAGAATTGTGAGTGGTTTTTCATGACTTCAGTGAAAAAACATTTAATTTGTCTTTTATGTACGTTTTTATTTTCAGTGTACATGTACAGTAGTTTGACATCAGTAAATTGAAGCTTACAATTTTTTTAAGTAATAAAAAATCAGTAAAATATATTAAAGACTAGATTTTTTTATCATGTTTATTTTTGAGAGTGAGTGCATACATGCACAAGCTTGGGAGGGTCAGAGAGAGATGGGGACAAAGGAGCTGAAGTGGGTTTTTTGCTGACAGCAGAGAGCCAATGCAGGGCTCAAACTCAAAAAACCATGAGATCATGACTGAGGCTAGATTGGATGCTTAACTGACTGAGCCACTCAGGCACCCCAAAGTCTTTGTACATTTTAAGATAATTTGTTTCTTAACCCATTCTTCTGTTTGAAAAACTTATATAGATTGTAAGTATAACATATTCATTATAGTTGTGCTGGATTCCATAATTTACATTTTAAAAAACCCAAATTTTTCTAGGACAGTGTCTAAAAGACACTACCTTTATCCTCTGCTCCCTTTTGGGAAAGAGTCTATTTGTAAAGAAATTGTGTGGGCCAAAGATATGAAGTATAATTAAGTCTTCTTGTGGACTTAGAAAATTTGACAGCAGAAGATTATTTCAGATTTTACGAATAAAAGGAAGAAAGGTCTGAAATGTTGTGCTGCAAATAAGGAGGGAGAACAGGATGGAATGAAAGGAGGTAACCCAGGAGATTACTGGAAGGAATAGAAACCAAAATGTTAGAAGTAAACAGTTGATTACTGATACAGTCTGGGGATCATATGGGGTTTGGTGAGAAGTCTAGTGTGTCGATAGCCATGTATACTTCATCTCTGGTACTCCTTGGTTCCCTAGGAAATGGAGAAGGAAATAAAAAATGTATTTCGTAACGGGAACCAAGATGAAGTTCTGAGTGAAGCATTCCGCTTGACCATTACACGCAAAGATATTCAAACTCTGAACCATCTGAACTGGCTCAATGATGAGGTAATCTTGCACCTGTTTTTATATTCAGATAGTAAGCATTAAGTGGAAACTAAATCAAGGTGTTACTTCACTGTTTGTTGAGGTGTGGTCCTCAGATGACCTGTAGAGAATCAGCTCTCTTGGGTTTCTCCATTCTCCTGAATAAGTATGAGACAGTGTGGTGGAGATAACACATATTAGACAAATACCTCAGTTTATTTTTTATGTACCTTCAAGTCTGAGAACTGCTGATTTACTTTTTTATGTATGGACAGTTTAGACACTGAGGGAGAGGACATCCATTCTCACTCTTTTTAAGACACCTACCCGGCATTTCATCTATTGAGCAAATATTTAATAACTGACTATGTTGCAGCATGAAGGAGTACTTTGGAATTTCCATCAGGGATTCCAGTTCTACTTCCTTTTTTATCTCTACTTGTTCTAGATCACTTAGGTTCTGAGAGCTAAGCTTTCTAAAGTAGCCAACATTTGTACATGATATATATTTTTTGGAAATGTTTATTTTTAAGAGAGAGAGAGAGAGAGTGCGCAAGCAGTGGAGGGACAGACAGAGGCGGGCCACAGAGGATCTGAAGCCGACTCTGTGCTGACAGAAGAAAGCCCGATGCCAGACTCAAACCCACAAACCATGAGATCATGACCTGAGCCAAAGATGGATGCTTAACTGACTGAGCCACCTAGACACCCCCATGATATTTTTTAAACTGACATTGAAAAAGCTGTATTCTTAATTATTTGATGTACTGCATTGAAAGAAAGCTGTGGCTCTCCACTTTTGCTAATTTTAAGTAGATTAATTATACTACAGTCTTTAAACCAATCTGATCCCTACTCTTAAACTTGTAGGAGCCTATTTTATTTCAGAGGGATATTTTCACAGCAAAAGAAGAGAACTGGGTTGGGTTTTTTCCTTGAGTAGTTTCTTCCTTTCTTAGGCCCAGAAGAAGCATCCCTGCCTGATATTTTTGCTGTCCTCAAAACTTTACAGCTGTGGGAGATTTTTAGAAACTCAGTATAGTATACACTAGATTTTCTAGATACCTAAAGTCGAGTCTTGTATGCTTATGATCTTCCAAATAAAAATATTGGCTAACATCTCTTGAGCATTTATCTCCTGCTAGGCACTATTGTAAGTGTTTTATGTGTTTTATTCATATAATAGTCACCACAAACCTTGGAGAGGTATATATACTGTAGTTTAACCATCTCTATTTTGTAGATGAAGAAACAAAGCATGGAAAGATTAAGAAACTTCTAAAGTTATATGGCTAGTAAGTAGCAGAGCCAGGATTTAGTCTCAAGCATTGAGTCTTATCTATTATACTGTACTGCCTCAAAATCTTAAATTGGATCCTGTCTTAGGGTTAGATGTATTGAATTTGAGAGCCATATGCCATGCCCAGCGTGTCGATTTTCTTTAGGGCCAGCTGGACTAGCCCCATTCTTTTTGCCAAAGGTCAGTTTCTAAAATATAAATTTAAAAAGTTCATCACTCCCTTAATAATACCTTTGACCAAAAATGTTAAGGAAGATATGGTTTGATATTGTCTTGCTTTAGGGAAAACTACCCTTGCTCAGAATAGTGATATTAGAACATTGGATCAAATAACAGGAAAGAGTTCAAGGGCAAAATGGAAATCAAGGACAGTCAAAAGTATCTACCAATTAAATGTTTTTGATTTGAAGACATTAATCTGGTTCCTTGCCTTTTTTTTTTTTTTTTGCCTACTACTGCTAAATGGGAAGGGCTGTTATTCTATTGGGCTTGTAGCTCATTTGTTGTAAACTATGCAAAACCTCCTAGAGGGCAGCAATGAGTAGGATATGAGCTGAGTCCTTGCTGTTTGCTGTGGCAGTTACCTCAGTGAGATCCCTTACAGAGGCGACATTCATCAGGACATATTTTCCATTCCCTTGGCCCATCAAAGGTTGGGTTTTTAGCATGCAAAGTTAATGGAAATTATATTATTTAGAAGAGTCGAAGAGAAGGAAAGATTCCTTGCCTACTTTATCTCTACTACACCTGCCCATAACTTGTGTAGAGAGTGCCTACTAGAATGTTAACCTTGAAAGCAGTTACCAGTTCACATGTTTGTGATGAAGATAACTATTTTGAAAAGCACCATTTTCAAAGTACTGTATTTTTCAGGCTTTCAAAGTTACTGCTCTTGAGAAGCTAACATCCTGATGAGGAATTAGTAGATATCCTTAACTATTCATGTTCATTTAAAAATAAGTAATCCTGCTTCTCAGTTGTGAATTCTCAGTTTGCTTTTGCAAGTAATTTGTCCTCTCTTCTTCTTTTTTTTTTTTTTTTAACATTTATTTATTTTTGAGAGACAGAGCATGAGTGGGGGAGGGGCAGAGAGAGAGGGAGATACAGAAACTGAAACAGGCTCCAGGCTCTGAGCTGTCAGCACAGAGTCTGATGCGGGGCTCAAACTCATGGACCACGAGATCATGACCTGAGCCAAAGTCGGATACTTAACTGACTGAGCCACCCTGGTACCCCTGTCCTCTCTTCAATCCTGTTCTTCCCTCAAGTAGATATTTTCATTATAATCATGTTTCTTCTTTCTGTATTTCCTGTCACTTTTATAGGCTGCTTTAAATATTTCTCCAAAATAAGGTAACTGAGGTAATATTCTTACCATTTTATAGACAAGGAATATAAGATCCTAGAAGTAAAAGGGATCAGATTTAGTTTATAAGGAAAATAAAATCCAGAAGTCCTATATTTGGAATATGTACAGAAAGCCATTAGGCTACCCTTTCTTTGATCTCTTTACTAAAAGAAGAGTTGGCTACATTACCTGTTTATAAAATAACAGCTTCCAAACATGTTTTCATGAATGGATTTATGTATAGATGAATATTAAATTCTGTATAGGAGATGGACATGGAGGAAGGCACTTGTGGGGGTTGAGCACTGGGTGTTATATGGAAACCAACTTGACAATAAACTATTTGTAAAAAAAAAAAAAGACAGAAACTCCTTCTTAAAATAAATAAATAAATTTTGTATAGCTTCAGAGGACTAATGATTGACAGGATTGACATTTTGACTCACTATAAGAAAATGAAACTTCTCGAAAATGGTATGTGGGAACTGGCTGCCTTTATAAAGAATACAAAAAGAAGCTGGAAGGCTGATAACACCAGGGACATTTATAGATGGAGATTTCCATACTGGGTCTGGCAATTAGTTATGAATAGAAATATCTATTTTTTTTTTTTAATTTATTTCTAGGAGAGAGAGAGACAGCATGAGCAGGGGAGGGTCAGAGAGAGAGGGAGACACAGACTCTGAAACAGGCTCCAGGCTCTGAGCTGGCAGTCTGTACAGAGCCCGACGCGGGGCTGGAACCCACGAACTACGAGATCATGACCTAAGCGAAAGTCGGACGCTCAACCGACTAAGCCAACCAGGCGCCCCTTTTTTTCTTTTTTTTTTTTTTTATTATGAATAGAAATATCTAAAGGAAGGAGGTCAGGGTCAAGGAGACAAGGAATTAGTTGCAAAAGTAGATTGAAAATCACAATCAAGAAACAGGAAATATTTTTAAAAATTGTTTTAATATTTATTTACTTTTAATATAATTTATTGTCCAGTTGGCTAACATACAGTGTATACAGGATGCTCTTGGTTTTGGGGGTAGATTCCCATGATTCATCACTTACATACAACACCCAGTGCTCATCCCAAAAATGCCCTCCTCAGTGCCCATCACCCATTTTCCCCTCTCCTCTGGCCCCCCCCAGTCAACCTTCAGTTTGTTCTCTGTATTTAAGAGTCTCTTATGGTTTGCCTCCCTCCCTCTCTGTAACTATTTTTTCCCTTCCCTTCCCCCATGGTCTTTTGTTAGGTTTCTCAAGTTCCACATATGAGTGAAAACCTATGATATCTTTATTTTTGAGAGAGAGAGACAGAGCACAAAGAGGGAGGGGCGGAGAGAGAGGGAGACATCAAATCCAAAGCAGGCTCAAGGCTCCACACTGTGAGCACAAAGCCCAATGTAGGGTCCTAAGTCAAGAACCATGAGATCGTGACCTGAGCCAAAGTCAGACACCTAACCGAATGAGCCACCCAGGTACCCCAGAAAGGAAATATTTTTAAATGGATGTCATCACTCGAAATTATTTGTTGATTCCTGGCAATTGATTTAGATAACTAAATGTGATTCAGTGGCATGATGTTTGTGCTTTATGGCCTGATGATTCTACTTCTTAGAGGGCTTAAGAATTGTTTTATAAGGCATCAGATAAATTTAGAAATACATGGAAATTATTTAGGCATACAAGTAAATGGATCTAATTTCTGTTTCTGGTCATGATAAAATAAAATGGATGAGGTTTACACTTTCAGTTTAGCTAGAAAACTAAACAAAACATGAAACAACAATTTTCAGATGGTGGATAACAAGATCCCTGAGAGAAGGAAAATGAAAGGGATGAGCTGATGATTTCCCCACCTCACTAGGGTGGTATGCTTGAGAGTAGATAGCTGGAAGAACCTGGCAGTATCTGACAGTCTTGCCAAGTGGAGGAGACATAATTCAGATTTCAGGGAGGTGAAAGTGGCTAAGGCCTATAACGTAAAATACTGAAGGGAGGGTTGTTGCACAAAGAGAAAGTCCCAGAGATGTGCAGAGGCCCCCCCCTCAAATCCTTGGCTGAGCACTGATCTGTATGTACATAGAAAGAATATACCAGAGTCTGGGGAAAGAACCACCAGAAAGAAGGAATCAGAACAAACCTCAGAACTAAGATAGGTGATTAGAATAGTTCATATTCCAACCAGTTGGAGTGGAAAGGTCATGAGGCATTTACTAGAGACCTCAGGAGTGAGGCCAGACTGGCCCTAGAATAGAGGGTACTCTGGATTTATGGTAGTAAAGTTAAATATAAGTCTTAAAAGCTTGAAAATGGTTTGAATGATTTACCTGTATCACAGAACAAAAGCCCAAACAATATTTAAAGGAATACGAACATACTCT